CACTAAAATCCTAACTAAAAACTCTCACTTAATCAAGTAAATCTGTGTTTTTTGAGGTGCCTGAAGTGCACAGCGTTAGACATGTGGTAATATCAGGACTCCAGCCATCCTGTCTCTCACGGTGCGTTCAATACCTGCTCTGAGTTATTCAACAGGGAATAGAGAGAGGCTGGATATCATAATGGATCATTTAGGCTGCGCTAATAATGCTCTGCACATCTCAGACCTGCTGGATTAGAGAGGAGAGGTCGATTCATACTGCTTTATTCTTCTTCTTTATCCCTGAGCATACTGTAAGCATTACACTGAGTTCACAGCTCCATCATGAATAGACTTAAATACTGATTGTTGGTAATTATATATCAACAACTGCAGCAGAACAACAGGCTTCTTATGCTGCACGCTTCTACTTCAAAATGTCTGACTTCTTCTCAAAAAGAGACAGTGGGTGTTTCTCAATATCGAGTACGCTTGCTTGGTAGCACATGTCTTCCGAGTCACTTGCTTCAGAAGCGAGGCAAGAATACTTCCTGGCATTCGGAAAACGAAGAGTGGAACAGGCTAACAAGTGTGCAGGTGTGCGTCATATGAGAGGCCCCGCCTTACATTTTCCGCCACAGATTTGGGGAAATTGGTTTGGCGCAAAGCATTGTGGGGATTTTAAGACCGCGGAGTCTACACATGTGCAGCCTCGAAATGTCTCGCTACGAAGTACGCCGGGCTCGGTAGAATTCCAAGTATGCTGGACATTGGAACAGTCCTTCGGCCGTACTCGATGACGTAGTATGCTTGAAATAGCGGCTCTGGAGCAGCTTTACTCGACATTGAGAAACACCCACAGTCTTTTGTCCCCTATCTGTAGTCAAGGAAGTATAAAAGACTACAATTCCCACGGCGCCGAGAGACACAGAGATGGTGTGAAAGACGCCGTGGAGTCTATCGTTAAGTAACCGTTAAAGTTATATAAGCTATAAGACAGTCGATCTGAGTTGTTTATTATTTATATCTGAGTTGTGGCTCGTTTGTGTTGATTTGTTTGACTCCGTTGTAAAAGCCTGTTTTATTTATTGAATGTGTGAAAAGTGTAATATTATATAATATAACGCAAGTCCCACAATATCAACACATCATCGAGAGCCAGAAAAGTCATCATTACTGTGAGTAAAACTAATATACTGAGAGATAACGGGTTAGAAATGTCTGTTTTAGGCGACTAAGTGGCTTTATGGAAACAAAGGAAGGAAGACGGAGGAAATACTCCATCTACTTCCATTTGTTTTTACATTATACCATGTCCTGATGCTTTCAACCAAAGCGACGTACAATGACTTTATCGTAGAAATGCCAACGTAATCTGGGGTTAAGTATCTCGCCCAATGACACTTCAACATGCCGACCCTCCAGTTAGACAACCACTGAGCCAAAGCTAACCTCATTTGTGTATTAATGCTCATGTAAGGCACTTTAAATGTAGTCAAAATGTGCTTTATGAAAGCACTTAGCGTACTCTACTTTACAAATACATCTTTTAGGTGTGTACAGTAATAGCTGTCTGTTCAGGTTGCATAGTGAAAAGAAGTAGTCAGACAAACCAAAGTAGAATTGTGAATGGATAACAATCAACTTAAAAGGCAACATAAAGTATATTTGCCTGTTATTATTAAAAATAACACATGCTATCGTTTAGTAAAACCTATTCTGTGTCAAAATAAGTCGTTTGTCAAGAAAATGTTATAAATGCCACAAAAAAATGTGTTTCCACTTCCCAAATCAATTTAAAGTGCACCTATCATGCAAAATGCACTTTAGTACGTCTTTTCTACATGAATATGTGTCCCCGGTGTTCCAGGGAACTCACCAAGTGTCAGAAAACACAACCCTCTCTATTTTCCTCCATACCCAAATCTCTAAAAAAAGGGGCTGCAACGGATCTGATAAAAACTGATCCAGATTTGAACACTGTCCTGACGTCAGGACAGTGGCGCTACGGCTATTGGGCCAACTCCACCAATCAGGAGGAGACAGCCACGGCCATTGCCGTTCGAAAGCGCTGGAGACGCTGTAGTACATATGCCAGGCCAGTAGATGGTGCTGTTCTGCCCTTATCAGCCCTTACACAAACAGAGCTAGAAAATGTCAAATTGAGCAAAATGAGGCATGGCTAAAATGCATGATCTGTTTGGTATTTTGAAAAAAAAAAAGTATAAATATGCCTTATATAGGTATGGTCCTACACTATATGATTCAAATATAGCATGATAGGTCCACTTTAAAGTGCACCTATCATGCTATTTTTAGGCATATATTATGGGTCTCCGATATATAAAAATATATCCCTCATACCCCTCTATTCCAGCCCTGTTAGAGAAACACGGATTTTGGGTCCTTTGCTTAAAAAAAAGGAGAAAAAAAAGGAGGCGGAGCTAATGCCTGATCAGAATTCTACCAGAGATAAAGTTAAATTCTGCTGTGATAAAACGCCATCCTGTTCTAAACCACATCAAGGATTATTTCTGAAACAGTATGGAGCTTGCGGGTTTATCACAAGGTGAGTTCCTTTTTTTATTTCCTGCTTTTTAAACACATGTGCTCTCCAGTACAGGTTAGCTCTGAGTGTTAGCGAGGCTTGCTAATGTAAACAAAGACGAGATTACGTCCAAAACACGTCAGGCATTGTTTCTGATAGCAACTTTCTGTGGGTCCACCATCCGAAATTACGTCATATCGGCAGCAAATCTGCAAATCGTTTTTTAAAGATTTGGGTACACAAACTAATAACTGGATCAGAAATTGATGCAACTAGTGGAAAGGAACATGTGTTTTCTCACATTTTATTGGTTTAATTAACATTAAAGAGAGCCACTATATATGTGAGCATATGAGTCGATGATATTTTGTCCAACAGGCGAGAGGCGTTTTACTCGATGACCCTGAGAAACCATTTAAAATCCCAAATGACTTTTTTGCTAATTACACTGAAGGGCTCGCATATAAGTAGAAACCAAGTGGTTAACATTAATGAAAGTAAAATGGAGAAAGAACTGAAACATTAATAAGATAATTATCAAACCAGGAAGGGTTGATCAAATAATTTTCTGCTTCATGCAGCCAATTACTGACAGAGCGCCATCTGTGATTAGGAATATCTGGATGCTGTCTGACTAAGTTAAGACTCACTGATGTGATTGTAGCTTAAATAACGTGAAGTCGTGCACTGAACATCCTTCAAAGATCTGTAGAAATACTTGGAATTGCATTTCTAGGGTTCAAACTGAGTGGCTCAAAGTGCACTAACTATTCATCCCCTTTGTAGGACTGGTAACAAGTTATATTATAAGTAATTTTTTAAAACAACACCTTGATATGGCTTCTGCAATATGTGACTGTTCATGTTAATACAATAAATATTCGTGTATCTTACTGCTCGGCAAAGACTTTTTACCAGAGAAAACTAAAAAAGTTTTTAGACTCCATGAAGTGATTAAAGCTAGTCAAATATTTTCGAAAATGCGGAAATGTCACATGCACGCTTCCACTAAATTCAAAGCATCACAATGTTAGTTTGAACTTCAGGTCATCATCCATTGTTAAGCACTGAGAAATATGAAGTAGTCGACGGATAATAGAGTGTGGCAGTCATTTGTGTAGACTGACCCGGAAGTTAGCATCTCCCTGGTTCCCTCCACGAAAACTCAATAGGAATTTTTCATTGGATTTTGGATTATTGCAGAAAACAATCTCTGTTCAAATCTCTTCATATATTGTGTTAACCGCAGATCTTATTTCAGGCATCTAACCAAAAACAATTTAAAAAAAACGTTGACTTTGAGACGAGGGAGCAGGAAGTGCTAAAACACTAATTAATGAGTTCAGGATGAATTCTTGCACAGATCTATTGTTTTGATAAGTATACAATGCTTAGCTCCCAGCTCATAGAGTCCTATTGTGAAGCAGGATATGTTCAAAGTTTTATAGAAGCTGCCGGAGGATAACTTGCATATGTTGGGAAATGTTCACAATTAGCATTAGTTTCGTTAATTAGTATGAATTGCCATTATAGCCTATGTGGACAATAGTTACAACATTTGGTTTTAGGGGTTATTGAGGATGCTGAGTCCATTTCTGACATTTTCAGAATAAAAAATGAACCAGAAAATGTCGTATTTGTACTGTCTGTGGGCTGATTTTGATTAATTTTGGGTCGATTTGGAAGATTTAGGGGACTCTCTGGATCATTTGGATTGGACAGATTGCCTATTTATCTGAGAAAAAATTGTCCACAGTAGAGATTATAATGTCTATCTTGTGCTCTCTGTATCCAATGGTCTCAACACTACTCATGGTAGTCAAAATCAGACTATAGGCTTCCCAAAGCAAACTGAAATAAAAAAAAAATAGTTTTAAGTGCACCTGGCTGAAGTCCAGTGCGCCCAAAGGTGCCTATTTCTTTTTTTAAACAGTGGTTTTAGGGGTTATTGAGGATGTCCATTTCTGACATTTCCAGGATCAAATATGGCAGGTCTAACCCGAAAATGTCTTATTTGTACTCCTTGTTGTCTGATTTTGATACATTTTGGGTCGATTTGGAAGATTTAGGGGACTCTGGATCATGTGGATTGGACAGATTGCCTATTTAACTGAGAAAAAATAAATAAATGGTGCTCTCTGTATCCAATGATCTCAACAGTACTCATACTGTAGTAGTCAAAATCAGACTATAGGCTTCACAAAGCAAGCTCAAATATATATATAAAAAAAAAAGATTGTTAAGTTTAGTTAATTAGCATTAATTAGCATTATAGCCATGTCTGACATTTCCAGGATCAAAAATGGCAAGTTTAACCCGAAAATGTCATATTTGTACTCCTTGTTGTCTGATTTTGATACATTTTGGGCCAATTTGGAAGATGTAGGTATCCAATGGTCTCAACACTACTCATAGTAGTCAAAATCAGACTATAGGCTTCACAAAGCAAGCTCAAATATAAAAAAAAGTGCACCTGGCTGAAGTCCAGAGCGCCCAGAGGTGCTGTCAGAATCAGTCTTCGCACCAAGCTGGTCCGCGTGTTTCCCAAAAGTGCGAGGTCGGACAGGGAGCTCGCCGCGCTCCAGTCCACGCGCAAAGTACCGTCAGCGGCCACTGTCGGGAGGAAGAGAGCCACGTGAAGATCATGTGAAATGAACAAGTCGTAAAACTCATAGTCGCCACGCAAAAAGAACAAATTCTCGCTCCGAAAACAAAAGCGACTCGCTTCCGCTCTCAATGTGGCACAGAAACGTCGTTTGTTGTTATTTCTGGAGCAAGAACACGATCAACTATGAGTTTTAAAAGATGAGGAAAAGAAAGTACTAGTTGCTTTATGTTGCAGCATGCCAACACATGCCTCGACGGGGTTTCCCAGGCAGCCACGCAGGGGCCATGACCATATAAGGGAATGTGATGTTGATGCCAGATCTCACTGCAGTTTCCCGCCAAAGAAACACCTAGATTAAAAAATGTAAAAGGGAATTAAGGAAGTTAAAAAGGTACCAATTTATAAATATGTTGTTCATCTGCTTTAATTATAAAACAGAAGGGTATTGAATGCATCTGTGAAGCAAAAAGACTTACAAATGTGTTAAATCTTGAAAAAGGACTAACAAATAAATCAATAGGATATCGTTTCAAGATACCACAACAAATATATTTGACATTAACTTAAGAGATGAAGCCTTGGCATGTTTTGGGGCGTTTTTCAGAATATAATAAGCAACGTTAGGCTTGTACCATCATTGAAGAGGCAGGGTAAATACTTTTAGATAATTTATAACATCATAAAACTTCCCCAGTCGATTACTTACAGTCAAAGAACGTTTTTTTGTATTACATGTTTTCTTAAATGTCATGTTTAAGTATGCAAATGAGAGGTTAACCGGTTAAATATGGGACAATTTGCAGAAATGTGAACATTGGATAAAGCCAGGTTTTCTTTTTGGTGACATTTAAGAGTCAACGGTTTTTTACAGGTCTTTATATTGCTCCATAAACCAGAACATACTACCATTTTTTACCATGTTTTTAGTAATAAAAGTGAGTATAAATGAGGCTGTGAACGCTTTGTGAAGGACACCCTCAGTAAAAAGCTTCAGAAGATAGATAGTAATGAAACTGGAGAGTGTAAAAGCTGCTGAAGTGGAGATTTCTGCTGAGAGACGAGGAGAAATAAAACTCCCTTACAGATATGTATTGTAAAATGCATACATTTTGTACAAACTACAGGTTAATAGGGTAACATTGACTTATAGATATCACTATGAAACTTCCCCAGGAGGACATTCAAGAGATTCTAAAATCTTTAAATATGCATATGAGGCATTATCTAATGCTCATTTTTGGTGAATTTAGGAGTAATCTACAGACCCAAATATGGATTTTGGATGTTTTCATTGCACTAGTCTGAAAGAAAACATGATTTAACAGCACCAACTCTTACATTTGACCACAGCATGAAGATATCTTTTAGCCTCAAAGTAATGTTTTGCCTGTAGTGACTTGTCTTAAAATCCTAGTTTCTGAAACACACTTCTTTGTATTATGCATGGTACAAGGCAGGGCTGGCCGTTGTTGCAGCGTGCTCTGCAGAGACTTCTTGTAGTGAGATAACATGGGTTTTTGGGCACAGATGCCTCCTTCCATGCACGCCCAAAGCCATGCCGAGTCATGCAGGTACTGTGAGCACAAGCTGTTGGATATTTCATGAAGTTTGTCGGAGGGAGAGAAGCAGTAAAACACGTGAAAGAAACAGTGAACAAGCGACACGCCTCCTGTGATGGCATTATGCATTTTTTACATCCCCTGCTGTTAAAACACACGTTCTCTGACATCCACACAAGAAAGAGAGAAGCGAGCAAAGGTCACTGAGCAACCTTTCGGGCTGCAGACGTCACAAAGTGCATGTCTTTAGACGACTCGCTTGAATACACTGGGTTAACCTTTTTCTAACAGCTGCCCTCATCATGATCTGACACTCTTCACACGGAGCAGATGGTGCTTTTAAGAACAGGAGGTCTTTCCTCCCAGTGGCCATCAAACTCTAAAACTCCTCACCCTTCAGTAAAGGAAACTGAGAACGTCCACACCACCACTATGTGCAATATAAATACCATTATCATCTCTCTATATAACATGTGCAATATCATTATTAATAATGTTCTATAATAACGTGCAATTACGCATCTGCCACTACGTCTTTTGCACTACTAAACACTGGTAATATTTACATTAATTATGTGACCGTCTATGTTTCCTGTAGATATGTAATTGCTCTTTTTACTGCACTGTTAGTGTACAGTTGTATAATTATTATGCCGATGTGTTATAATAATAATAAAGTCCTATCTTATCTTATCTTATCTTGCAGCAACATATCAGCACCTGAAGCAGCTCCCTCTCTCACACACACACACACACACACACACACACACACACACACACACACACACACACACACACACAGTCACACACACACACACACACACACACACACACACACACACAGTCACACACACACACACACACACACACACACACACACACACACACACACACACACACACACACACACACACACACACACACACACAGTCACACACACTGCTCGCCACTCTCCAAATCAGCTTTGCAAAATGAGATGAAGAGGTGGATCTCTGAACGTCAGCGCCTGGCCCCTGCTCACTCTGCAGGGAGGCGTTTCCTGTTACTGTGTGTGAGAAGAACCGCTCGCTCCATTAGTCTGCGGCACCCTATCTCCAACACTCGGTCCAATATGAGGAGCAATCACTCCGCCCCGGGTACGAAAACCTGCCCGTTTAGCGTACCGAGCTCAGGTTGCCCCACCGGCTGAACTCAATATGTGCCGTTTAATTGGCTGTGAAGAGATCGGATGCCCGGGGTGTATTGTATCGTTGAATCTAGGCCACCTTGCTCAATGAAAGTATTGTTCGAAGAGTGAAAGATGCGCACTTGTTTTGTTAAAAAAGCTTCAGATGAACGTCCAGTCATTTGAATTTGAGCCCCGTGCATGCAGGCGCTGTTTTCCTACACCTAGAGAGAATTTAAAGTGACACGTCGGCAACTCACTGTCAGAGAACACCCGTTTGAGAGTTTGTTGAGCTGGTTTATTTCATTTAACTGCGACACACGTTAACAAAAGACATCGCACTCACTTCAGCAGAAATGTGTTGCGTCCACGTCTAGAGCTGCGGAGATATCATCTATTAAATTAATTTCCAAACTGTTTGTATTCTTCTTATCGGATTATTCAACAAATCTGTTGTTTTTTGTTAAAGTAGACTTTGTTGATTTCTGTCCTTTTAATGCTGCTAGACTTTTATTTCGGGAAACGTATGAGCACATCTCTGCAAAACACAACATTTGAAGTGGGTCTTTTCCTTTCAGAGTAACTCAGATCTGTCAAAGAGTGTTTTTATTTCTTTAGTCAAAGAGCTCTTTTTAAATGTCCTGACTCCAGCGTCTTGTGTGGGAAGGTTTATTCTCCTTTACTGCGACACACGTTAGCTTAATAGATTGTAAATACAACTGCACACTCTTAAACAGAAGTGCTTTGCATCCACGCCTAAAGCTGCAAAGATATAACCTGTTCAATGATTCGCAAACTGGTTTGATTATCTTTTTTTAAGAAGAATAAAAGAGATCTCCAGGGCTGCCTCTTTGGCCCTGACACACCAGGCCGAAATCGTCGCCCTGTCGCCCAAACTCAATTTGGTGTGTCCCGCACCGTCGGCCGTGACACGCCTTATTTGGCCTTTCATGGCCGACGGCACATGTTGAATCGGCCATGCGTCAGCCACAGGCAGTCGGACAAATATATCACTCTGATTGGCTGTTCAGCTAGCGAATCAGTGCATGAGAAGCGAAACGGTTGCTTGAGAATGTCTTCCACAAGCAACACTCCAATGGCTGATCGCTCCAGTACCGCACGAAACATGTTTTCGATGGACGAGAGTGAAAATGGAACGCACACGCTATTTGTTGTTTCTTCTCTGTCTTCCGGTTGTTGCCTCTTTTGAATGACGAATACACACTACCGCCGCCTGCTGGTAAGGAGAGTTATTGCCACTCACGCATGCGCAGTTCGTACGTGCTCGGCTGAAGTCTTTGCGGTGTGTTCCAGTGCGACACACGGCCAAGACGCAGGAGAACACGGCGACGCAACAGTCGGCGTCGGCGAGTTCTCTGGTGACTGCTTGGTGTGTCAGGGCCTTTAGTCCATTAATCAGACTTTAAGACAGGGGTGTCAAACTCAATTTCATCGTGGGCGACATTAGCATTATGCTTGCACTCAAAGGGCCGGTTGTAACTATATAAATATACATAATATATATTAAATAATGTATTATATTATATGATTGCCTCTGCATTGGATTTGTATTGGATAGGGTAATAACTTCATAATTAACTACGTCTGAAAGCAGAAGTCTAGGGCAAATAACTGCAAGTCTCTTCAGTGCGCATGTCACAAAATGAGATGCATTGTGGGACATGTAGTTTATGGGCAACATGCTTCTGTAAGATAAGATAAGATAAGATGGACCTTTATTGATCCCCGTGGGGAAATTCAGTAGTTTAACAGCAACAAGGTGAGAGTGAAAAACAGGACTGATTCACACAGATTAATAAAATTAAGGATAAATCAAAGATAAAAATAAACCAAGATAAATAAGTATAAAATAAGAAATGAATTAAAATGAACATCTATAGATATTCTGTAAAGTAGCATGTCATCGTATAATAAACGTATTATATTCTTTGCAAGCTCTTGCGGGCCACATAAAATGAAGTTGCGGGCCGGATTTGGCCCCCGGGCCTTGAGTTTGACACCCCTGCTTTAAGACAAGATGTATATGTTAACTGTATGCTTATTTAATGCTCTATGACTTGTTTTAACAAACTTATGAGCATATCTCTTATTTGAAGTTGTGATTTTGCCTTGTAGTTTTTGGGGGAAACTCAGTTTAACAGATTCAATAATAATGTGAAGACTAAGAATTCCTTTTGTCATAGACAACGCTAATAAATTCCTCTTTTCTCGCTTCTCAATGTGAAAATATTTGTATTTCTTTACACCTCAATGATACTTAAACTTAG